TTAAAAAACAGGCATTCCCAAGTTGGATCATTTTTGCTTCAAATACAGATGAGTAATTTTCATATTTATACTTCATACTACTGATCTGCTGCAAAGATAAATTGACTGTTTATTGTCTTTTAGGAAGGACTTGAAGTTGTCAGCTAAGATGAACTATTTTGTACTATGTGCAATTATTTGGACTTCCCTGGGTACAAGTCTTGGCCAAATTTGTTTCTCATTTAAGAGTTACTTCTGATATACTGAAAGGAAGACTAGAGTTTAAAAACATCAAGAATCCTAAGGAAATTTAACTATTCTGCCTGGCTTTACCTTATGTTGGCATCCTAAGAGCTTTTTTTTGATCTACTGATCTTGATCCAAAACTCAAAAACTCAACAAACCACAGAAGATCAGCTACAAGAGAGATGAGATGACATACATCAGGATATTTTTTTTAAATCACCTAGAGGAGAAATACTTGCCAACTAGAGTTAAAAGCAATACACAAAGTGAAACAGAGCTATATACTAATATGTCAATAGAAGAAGTTGTTATATTGTCAAATACAAGTCAGAGTATCACTTGCAAAGCACAAGCAACAGTTATAGCCACACAACACAGGAACTCTCCAGATCTTTTTATTTTGCTTCACCCCTTTACTATCTTCTCTTCTACAAATATTTCTTATCCTAAATTCCTTTTCTTCTACTGAAGCCAATATTGTCAAGAATATAGACTCTTCTGAGAAGATGATCTTAGAAGACAAGTAGATTTGTAACAGTTATCTGTGAAATACCACAGCACTTTGATAGTAATTTGTAGGCCTGTGAGCATAACAGTCATCTTCTTGTCTTTTACGCAGCAAGTCTAACTTCTTAACAGTTAAATTCCTAGCATAAAATTTCATAGAAGTTTTACCGCCTGAGAGATTTAGAAGCTGAGAACAAAAGAACAGTGGAATAGAATTAAACCCTTAGAATTGCGATTTGCATAAGCTTCCACTTGCAATACGGCTAAGGTAAGGGCTAAGTCTCCCTGAATTAACATTAAAAAAAACCCCAGAAGTTGTAGCAAATATAGTAAGGACTATCTTTCCACTAGTTGTTTTGTAACAAGTGTCATAGAAAGACCAAAATTACTGGCAAGAGATGTCACTTTCAAAAGCTTATCCTAATAAGAGCATAAGATATTTAATAAGACCTACCTGAAAGTTTCAAGATTACATTTTTTGTTGTGTTGCTAAATCAGCCACTCCCTAGACAAAGTACTGGAGCAGAAACAGTGAGAGTAACTTAAATGCAACCTATTTCAGATTACAACCTTAAACAGTACCTGTACTAGTGCCCTCATCTTTCAGAAAGCAAACTAGAGTTGAAAGCAACTTCTATCGTTCTGATGTTCTTATTGACTTTCCATGAAAAATAATTTTAGAACTAACTCCCAGGAGCAGCCACTGGAAATGCTCAGAGTAACATCACAAAAATAAAACCAAAGAAGTTGGAAGACGTACCCAACCCTTCACGGTTTGAAGAACCCTAGGAAGTAGAAAAAAGTCAAATCTACCATTTTCCTGGCAAAATACTATTCTGACTTGGCAAGAAGTTGATACAATTCCATGATACTTTGAAAGCAGGTGCAAGCAAAACAAGCCTTACAGCAAGAGCCACATGAACAAGGTTACTAGCACCAAGCCCAAACCGATCTTTCTTTTTCCATACACCACTGTCAAAGAGAGCAAGCACAATATGTGCTTATGCATTAGTCGGTCTTTTATGTAAACTTAAAGAGTAGACTAATTTCAACGGCTTAAGATGCTTTAGGAAATGTCCCATAGATATTTATCTGTATTTTAGACAGCTAAATGCATAAAAGCCTTACCTCAAGTGGCTATATGTAGGTTAGATACAGAAGAACTCGCCAATTTCTGATTTGTCATTGAAGATTTTATGCCACATGCAGAAAAACTAAAGCACTTCATAGCTATTTCAGAGCTCTGAGTAAGAAGTCATCTGAACATTATGCGTGGTAATAAATGACATTCCTCTTCTGAAGTTTTCTGCTTACCACTTCTCATCTATAGTATTTTACCTGGCCTAAACTCAACCCCAACATGCAATTTTAAGCTTTCCTCCATTACACACACCTCCTCTGTTCTCAGATTACAGCCTGACAGATACTGTAAGTGCTGATTTTGGGTGTACTTGGGGATAAATACTTTTCAATGTCACACACATAATAATATCACTTTATTTTGATTGAATTTCATTTTGGCTAATGAACAATTAAGACAATCAACATTAAGCTCATTGTGCATCATTCCCTGCAAAGTTAAAATAAAAAGCCACCTAAATATACCAATAACTTCTTTGTTTTCTCACAGTAACTATGACAATCATGGACATGGGTATACTGCAACACCACTGAATCCTAAAAGCTATTATGATAATAGTTTGAAGTTGAAAACAACTGAGTTTTTCACAATCAAATCACTGTCCGCCAACAGAATCTTACCTACAGCCATCTAAAGGACAGAAAAAATTCAGTATTCAATCACCCAGTTGAAAGGTTGTTTCTTGAGAGACACTTATTTTTTAATAAAAACATATTAATCAGTTCTGCTTCTATAAAGCAAACAGACAATACACTCACACAAACACGGGAGCCAAGGGACTCACTCAGGTGATGTTTAAGCTTAGAGAAGCATCTAATAGATGACAAGTTTCTTTTCCTTCACTGTAGCAATCAGTCTTTATTGGCCTGTCTTGTCTGTTCTTGCCTGTCCTACAGAACTACCGCATTTTCATTGCGTACGCCTATTTGAGAGGGAAGAATTTAGTGAGCATGTGCTGAGCATACGGGCAAAGCAATTCCCTGCTCATTCCCACATTACTTAAAAGAAGCAGCACGCTCACTCCTCTCCCTATCAAAGGAGCTAGCCACAAAACCTGCTGTTTGCTTCTTCTCTCTGTTCCTGTTATGTTGCAAAGCCTGGGGCTGTGAGGAAGGAGGACAGATGAAATATGAGTGCCACTGCCAAAACAATTCTTCAGAAAAGCCACTTTCAGGAGTTCCACTAAAAACAAAACTAATAGGAACCGGCCAAAAACTGCCAGTTTGAACTACCAAGCAACACTGGGCTACCAGTCCTTTGGCTGGGCAGCCTAACCTAAGCAGCAGAAAACAATTTTCCTTTTATATCAGTTCTAGCTGGGTTAAATTTTAAGAACAATATACTCCACACAGTGATCCCACATGCTCTATAGGAAAGTTCACACATTCAAAATAAATGTTTCTTCCAAGATAAAAAGTTCAGAGTGGATTTCTTCTCACAGTATTATTGCTACCTGCATAGCTGAAACATTCAGTCTGTGATTCAGCTTTATCTATCAGCATGGCAGGCAAGTTTTAACTCAACCAGTCAAAAAGTTTACCCCAGGAGGCTGACAGACCTTCTTGCTTATTAAAATCATCAGATTTCAAGACTACCAAAAAAAAACCACCAATGTCATCTAAAACATGTTAGTAGAATTACACAACTTATCAGTACATAAGAAAACTGATGTATGTCTCTAGCAGTTATGGACAAAAGTTAACCACAGAATATGACTATGAGTAGTCCCAACAGTCACACTATACTGTATCTAATTTTAGCCCACCTGCATACATTCACAGCCTTCCCAAAAAACAACACTGAACTGTAGTTAAGAGCCACGTGGACAGCAATGAAACCACTGCAAAAGCTTAAGTTCTTAATGCTACTGTCCCTCCTAAACATTAAATGCTTTACTTCCCACACTGAAGAGTGCAAAACAGAATTAAGAACTATTCTGCTACCATAATGTAATGAATAGCATTTGACAGGGAGGGCGACCAAAAAAAAAAAAAAAAGAAAAAAAAAGAAAAAAAGAGCCCACACTGCTATTTCTGCCCTGTAACATCTAGCAGATCCCAATCTAACAGTAGGATCACTCCTTACAAGGCACTGTTACATGCCTACATGAGTATATAAATTCTCTGCTATCTGTACAAAGAACTATATGCACATGCACACACCCCACATGCCTTCCTCAATCATTTCAAGAAAAATGCAGATCCCCAAGGACATTCTAACACTCTCACATCCCAAAACTAGTTTTTTGCATATTTTTTCATTGCTCCCAATGAGAAAGTAAGACAGCAACAGCATGATTTTTCTTTCTGATGTTAGAATCTCCACTGTCCATTTCAGAGCAGCCAAGAACTGAATTAGCATGAATCACCACCCTTAGGTGGTACGTTTCCATTTTCATATGCTTTGTGAATAGAAAATGGTAGTTTCTAAATCCATTCCAAGAAGCTACTTTCACATATTAAAGAAGCTTCCAAGTAATTCAGGATTTAAAAAAGGAACGCTCTTAAATTCAAACTGAAACACAACAGTATTTCATGTATACTCTCAACCAAATTTAAAACAAAAGTACTTACTAGAAAACAATAGAAAATAGATCCAGCACTCACTGCACGAAGTTTGTTGCAGTATGTAACATCTCAACCTAGCATCCTTTTCAAGCCTCGGTACATGTAAGTGAAAACAACCCGCTTTATTACCAAGAGACTACAGTCACACCTTAGCCCTGTAGGAATCCCAGATATCTAAGTGTGCATGATTACTTTTGTGAGATTAGCATTAAACCTTACCTCATCAATTCTCTATTAACCATACATCTGCTACATTAAAAAAACACATTAAATTGCTGTGAAGAAAACATGCTAGAAAACAAGGTATCAACAGACTACAGCAGGTAATGACAGGATTTGAGTTTATCCTCAAATGTTTTGCAAGCTTATTATACCAGCTTGCAAGGTATATGCCTAAGGAAAGACAGAATCTCTGTGCTCCATCCTATACAGAAAGATTATACCAAGGTGGAACTCGGAGCTCCTCAGTAGGGGATGTATCTGGGAATGCAAAGGTGAATTAACGGTTGTGTACCCAGTTGCATAAAAGAAACTACTCTTACCCTTCACCTAATACTTACTGTTGGCTCCCACATCCTCAGCTACTCCAGAACCTCTCATTCTCAGGTATGTGAATCCCAGTATCAGAAAGAACAAGCATGCAGCAGTTAAGAGGAACATGGACAGGTAATGTGCACTGAAGCCTCCAGTGGTGGATACCTCCTCTCTTTTGAACTGTTGGAGAAGCTCCTCCTCGGGCTCTGAGAGATTCTTCTTGTAGGTGTTTTTCAGGTAGGTATGATTTGAACCCGTATGATTGGAGTGGTTGAGTCTAAGGGAGGAGGTGGTTCCACCCGGGGGAAGGCTATTAGTAGCTGAATAGATCCTGGATTCAACATTATAGCTACCAGCAGCACCGCTGAGAACATGGTTATTGGTAGCTTTCCTAATGGTGCCTGGAGGGTCAGTGATTTTACTGCTGTCTGCGTCCGTAAGCGGTGGCGGCAGCAACAATACTGTAGGGGATTTCTTAGATAGGCCAAGGCGGTATCTGGGGCTGGGAGGACTAGAGTCCAGATTTTCACATCCTCCTCCTCCCCCCGCCGCCGCCGCCTCCTCCTCCTGATTTCTGCCCCTGTCTAGACTCCCGGCAGCAGCCGCCTCCGCCGCCCTGTCATTCGTTACGACTAGACCAGCACCACAGCCTCCGCCAGCCCTTTCTTGGCCCGTCTCCATCACGCCAGCGCCGGCTGCAGCGCATTTGCTTGTTATGAATGGAGCAGGAGACTTGCTGAGGCTCCGTCTGGGCCGCCGAACTGCAGACTCCTCCTTGGGTACCTGCTCTTTGGCCCTCGCCGCCGCCGCCTCCTCCTCCTCCGAGTCGGAGTACTGGTCCCTGCTGCCGCCGTAGGAAAGGAGCCGGTTACCGTTCACGGTCCGGTTCCTCCACCGCTGCTGTTCACTCGTCTCTTCTCCTTCCTCCTCCTCCTCGTCGTCGTCCTCCTCCCCCCCTTCCTCGGCGCCGTCCCCGGGCTCCCTCACCCCGTGAGCCGCCGCCGGTCTCCTGGCCGCCGCCCCCCACCAGGCACTGGGCTTCCGCCGGGCCGCCTCCTCCGGGGGGGAGCTGTTACTCACGCCGCAGGCGCCGTGGGGGGCGGCGGGCCTCAGGCCGCGGAAAAGGGGTGAAGCCCGCTCCCTCCTGGAGTCGGAGTACTGGTCCCTGCTGCCGCCGTAGGAAAGGAGCCGGTTACCGTTCACGGTCCGGTTCTTCCACCGCTGCTGTTCACTCGTCTCTTCTTCTTCCTCCTCCTCCTCGTCGTCGTCCTCCTCCCCTCCTTCCTCGGCGCCGTCCCCGGGCTCCCTCACCCCGTGAGCCGCCGCCGGTCTCCTGGCCGCCGCCCCCCACCAGGCACTGGGCTTCCGCCGGGCCGCCTCCTCCGGGGGGGAGCTGTTACTCACGCCGCAGGCGCCGTGGGGGGCGGCGGGCCTCAGGCCGCGGAAAAGGGGTGAAGCCCGCTCCCTCCTGCCGCCGGCGCCGGCCTGGCTCCGGGGACTGGTTTCCACATCCGACTCGTCCGAGCTGAAGCTCAGCAGCACTTTTTCGCCCCCGGCAGAGGGTGCTGCGCGGCCCCGGCCGCTCCCGGCGGCAGCCCCGGGGAGGTAGGGGGGCTCGGCGCCCACCAGCCGCGCTCCCGGGGCCGCCCGCCCGGGGCCGCCGCCTCCGCCCGGCGCCGCCGCCGCTCCGGCCCCCGTGTTATTGTTGTTGCTGTTCCGGGTCTTGTTGGCGCCGCTGCGGGCCCCGGCCCGTTCATCCTCACGCAGCTTCTTCAGCCTCTTCAGGTAGACGGGCCGGGTGCCCTCGGTGACCGGCCCCGGGGACAACCCCAACCGCTTCAGCT